AGGCTTTTTCTTAAACTAGGCATGTCTAATAGGGTTTAACGCAACCTGTGAATTTGCCCCTGCACAAGGTCAGCTTGTAGGTCGGTGGAATGCTGCACAAATTGCTTTCTCCTCCAGACTGTAATTATACCTCAGAGAAGGCCACTGGCTGCCAAGTTCAGCTGACTCCAGATAGGACTAAGATAAACTGAAGGCTTGCTCACGTTGCTCAAAAAATGATCTTTAAGGGTCTGATATAAAGCATCTCTTGTTTAAAAAAGAAATGATCTTGAGGGTTATGAAGGAGCTTTCTGTAGAAATGGTGAGACCAGCTATTGTCTGTTTTTTCTGAGAGAAGAAAAAGATTGTTTGAAATGGAAGCATGAGTAATTTGACTCAGACATAAAGTAAAATGCTCTGGTGCCAAAAGTTAATGCTAGAAAATGATTTTGAGGATTATAACAAATTAAGTCATATGCACATGAGGACAAATAATGAAGAATGAGTATTAGAACTCATCATGGATTAGGAGTAGGATGAAAAGTGTAGGTTGTCTTTACAATTAGCAGAGGTAGGACTGTGTTTTATTTGATGAGAGAAAATAACTGTAAATATAATGTGCATCGTGTGGATGTAACCTTAATAATTTCTTAAAATGTGACCTTTCTCTTCTAAAGTAAGATCTATCTTTAAATATCTAGGCTTCTTGGATAACCCAAAGGCAGAGGATTAAAATCGGCAACATTTACAGGTTTCTTCAATGCTAGTGGTTAAAAGATCCCAAAAATATACTTCAAACAGTGAACTTATTGGATAAGCAAATTTTTGTATTTTCACTCTCACAAATTTTTTCTGGAACATTTTCCTGGAATAGCCTGGGTGTAGGCTCTTTATTCCAGCAAACTCTATGGACGGAAGTCATGTTGGGAGCCTCAGTGCATAATTCTGCCTACTGGCTCCACATCAACACGGAAACCCATTCATTTGATGTGTATATTATGAAGCTATGGGTTAACAAGGTCAGGGATCCTACAGATATCCACCAGTCAACTGTGGACTGGCCGTAGCCTTCCACAGTGTGAAGAAAGACCTGCTGCTCTCTGGTCTTAATGCCTCTTCAAGTAGAAAGAGCCCTTTCTGCCTGGATAACCAGAGCATGAATTATAGTGGTCGTTTGGGGTTCATCGTCTGCAGAGTTTATCATCTCTCAACTATCCTTCCTGGAGAGGTTTTCTGAAAAGTGAGACCTGGATCTTTGTTTACAGAAAAAGGCACTGAATAGATCACTTTGGGAAATGCTTCATGTTACCAAGAGGAGGACTGTGCTAGAAACAACTGTCTCATGTAAAAACCCAACTTTCCATAAGTCCTGATGAAATAAGTCCATGATTAGTAAAAAGAAGGATGTGTTGGTCTTTTTCCCATTTTTAGCACAAGCTCCTAAAATCCTTGGAAATTCGTAAGAGAGCTGCAAAGTTGTCTCCTGTTAGGTGAATGATGTGGCTTTTGGAAGCACCTAAAGAGGAGGGTTGGTTGCCATGAGAATCAACCCCAGGATTAAAGGGTTAGAAATTTTCATCCCATCTCCTGACCCCCCAGCAGGGGAGTGGGTCTGGGTGTTCTGTCAGTCCTCAGTGGCCAGTGACTGAATTAATTGTGCCTATATAATCAACCTCCATGAAAACCCAAAGGACAGTGTACAGGGAGCTTCTGAGTTGGTGACTCCAAGGAGGTTTTGGGAGAGGGGAGAGCTCCAGGAGAGAGGGGAAGCTCGCGTGCTGCCCCCTTGCCTTCTGCATCTCTTCTATCTGACTGTTGCTGAGTTATGTCCTTTTATGGTAAACTGGTGATTTGTTAAATAAAATCTTTCTTTGAGTTCTGTGAGCTGCTCTAGCAAATTAGTTAAACCTCAGGAGAAGGGGGTCATGGGAGCTTTTAACATCTAGCCAGTTGGTGAGAATACAGGTGACAACCTAAATTTGCCATTGGCTTCTGGGGGACTGTGGGGTGTAGGCAGCTGCAGGAGCTGCTTTTCCTCTGGGGAATCTGATTCGATCTCTAGGTCGATGGAGTCAGAATTGAGTTGAATTGTAGGCACTCAGCTGATGTCTGGAGAATTGCTTGGTGGTGTGGGGGTAAGCCCCCCCCCAACATCTACATTGGACTTGGAGGCAGAAACTAAAAGACCCGACATATTAGGGATTATGTATCTAAGAATAATTAGAAAGTTTAAGTTAAATCACTCACCTGCAGCAGACTTATTTACATGACTTTTCCTTGAAACTAGTCTTTGACCTCCCATTGAACAAGGATATATACATATCTACGCATACGCATCCTTCTCAGTGCATCAGCATAGAAGTTTACTTTTTGTGAATACTATTGAATTAGACAACCTTGGTGTGATGAGTTAGAGCGGCCCTAGACATAAAAGGCTGATCTCTCCTGAGTGTTCTCTTTTAATCTATCAGACTGTGATGCCTGTCGCTTTCCATAGCTGGCCCAGGGTCCACAATAGCTGAGCATTCCAGAATTAAAGTTACAGGGCTGTATTTTTTGTGATTATGCTTATAGTTCTTAGTTTCATTTGTATTTTTAATTAGATTGTTACATTACTTGGAAACTTTGAATGAAACCAGACAACTTTAAAAATTAAAATAGCATAGGATAATAGTATAATAGCAAGCAGAATGCTTGAAGAATGGGTTGATGCTGCTTGATTAAATTTTTGAACTAATATATAGCTTAATGTAACTTTTGTATTTAAAATCCTGTGATTATTTTTTTTAATGCGTTAGTTGACTTTCCTACTCTAAAAAAGGAAGAGTATTAAATATCTGACAATCTCAGGCAATTTAGGATTTTAAACATTTTCAAGGTAATCATTATGATCACTAGTTCACACTGTTAGGTAAGTGCATGTGCACTTACCAATTTTTGATGATGTTCAGCAAGGGTGTCAAGACTACATAATGGGGCCTCCCCGGTGGCGCAGCGGTTGAGCACTGGGTTGCGAAGCTGCCCGCAGCCTCTGCGGCGCCGGTTCAATCCCCGGCTGCTCCCCGGCCACCGGAGGAGGGTCCCACATGGCGCCAGACCTCTCCTGCCGCCCGCTGCTCCCCTCAGCAGTGTACTTCGGTCCTTCTGCCTGCTCTGCTCCCTGCTGTGGCTCTGGTGAGTTCTCTCACCCTCCCGTGCTTCTGACTGTACCCAGTGCATGTATAAACAAAACAAACAAAGAAAACATGCCTCTATAAAAATTTATTTTTTTAATAAATAAAAAAATAATAAATTTTAATTTTAATAAATTTTAATTTAAAAAAAATTTTAATAAATAAAAAAAAAGACTACATAATGGGAAAAAGATAATCTTAACAAATGGCGTTGTGAAAACTGGATATACATATATAAAAGAATGAAATTGTACCCTTATACCATACATAAAAATCAACTCAAATAGATTTAAAACTGAAATGTAAGACGTGAAACTATCACAGTCCTAGAAGAAAACAGTGGGAGAAATTTCATAACAATTATTTCTGGTTACAACATCAAAAGCACAGACAACAAAAAGCAAAAATAGGTATCAAACCAATCAAACTTGATCAAAATAAAAGGGTTTTCTGTACAACAAAGGAAGCAATCAAAGGAGTCAATTGACAACCTATGGGATGGGAGAAAATATTTGCTAATCAGGGTTAATAGTCAAAGGTATTAATATCCAAAATATATAAGGAACTCCTACAGTTGAGTTAAAAAAAAAAAATTAAAGGGCAAAGGACTTGAAAAAACATCTCTCCAAGGAAGACATACAAATGGCCAACAGGTATATAAAAAGATGCTAAATATCACTAATCACCAGGGAAATACTAATCAAAACCACAGTGAAATCTCACCTCAGACCCATTAGGATGGCCATTATGAAAACAACAAGACAGAAAATACCAAGGGTTAAGGAGATTGTGGATATGGAGAAATTGGAATTGTTGTGCATCTTGTGTTTTCTTACTCCAGTAAAAAAATTAAGTCTTTCAATCCATTTTTTTTTTAAAAGGAAAGTAAGAGAGCTAAGGACAAACATCCCTTCAGGATCCATTATGTGCCTACCATTTTACTGGTTTTGAGAAAGCTGGTATTATTCCACAGTTAAACAGAGACTACAGTGGAAACCTTGAAGTATATTTTTAAAGGTCTAGTTTGAAACAGACAGAGTTTGACACAAATAGGGAAGAGAATACAAATGTTTGAACTTCACATATGCCTGCCCCTCTTCTGAAGAAGGCAGCACAGATTTTTTTAGAAAATTTTGAAGGTTTAAGTCCCACTAAATGTATCACTTTATTAATACCAACCTAGATATGATCTAACGCTCCAAAACAGGGCAATTTTATTTAAATAATAAAACTATGTCAAGAATGACATTAAACACTTTACATGTATAACGTCAATGTCTAAGAGAGATGTATAAATCACTTCATGAAGAGATTAAGGGACAATGTCAGGATCAGTCAGATCACAGGGAATGGTTGAGTCAGGACCACAATGATTTTTTCCCCTCAGTCACTCATCAGAGGACACAGCAAGATTGGAGGAAATGAAATGACTTAAGTAGCGACATTGAGACTATTCGCAGAAGAAGTGGAGAAGTTAGGTATCAGACTGCACATACATTGCAATTGTAACTTAGTTGAGACGTGTTTGAATATAAGAATCAGAGTAAAGCATAATAAAGATTTCAGTGCTTCAATTAGACCAGTAGAATTTGATGTGATATCTTTCCTTTATTTTCTAAAATATCTGTAATCATGGATGATACTTTCAAAATAAAGTATTATAAAATAGTGTGCCTGTAGCATCAGTTAGCTAATCAGTATCTAAAAACCTTTTTTATTTTAAATGAGGTGATATTGGTTATAACATTGTATGGGTTTCAGGTTACAGCTTATCTATCAACATCTGTATGTTTTTGGTCTGCTTCTAAAGATTGCATGGTTATTTGCGCTTTTATTTTTTAATTCTAGATCATCAAGTTATTGGATGGAAAACGATCTCAAACTGTGGGCATCTTGATATCTAGTTTGCATTTGGAAATGAAGGATATCCAACAGGGTAAGTCATTTCTATCATGTTTCCCCCCAACTTTTAAAATTTTCAGCATTTTACCATGAAAAATTCCCAAAAAAATATAGAATTCCATAGTGAACCCCACGTACCGAGGACCCAGAAACAAAACCATCAGCTTATTCTTGCTGATCTGTACCAACTGGATTATCAAGAAGTTATCTCAGATATTTTACAATTCATCAGTTAAATGTTAGTATATCACTAAAAGATAAAAATACGTTTTCAAGAATAATCAGTGCCATTATCTTGCATGTAAGAACATTTCTCATAACTTCCCAGTATCATAAAATCTGTAGTTCTAATTTCCCTGCTTGTCTATATTCTCTCTAATTTATCCATTCACTTACAGTTCATTCTAATGATGTTTCAAACAAATTTCATGGTTTTCCTTTGATATCTCATGGGTCTCTTTTCATCTAGAGGTTTCTATCCTTTTTTTTCCCCTTTGTAATTAATTTTTTGAAGAAATCAGGTTCTATGTAATTTCCTACATTTTAGATTTTGCAGATTGCATCATCATGTTTTTATTTATTACGTGCTGTTGTCTCCTGTGAGTCCTGTAAACTTTTAGTTTGATCTAGATTTAATTCAATAGGGGAAGAATACTTCATTGATACTATTGTGTACTCTATCAAGAAGTATAAAATAATCTAGTTTCCCTTTATGATATTGGTGGTCGACACTAGTGATGTTTGTCCAGATTCATTATTTCATTAGAAAATTTGCCAGATTGGACCTCCCTGGTGGCGCAAGGGGTTAAGCACCGCACTGTAAATCTAGCCACAGCCTCTGCAGCATGATTTCGATCCCCAGCCGGCCAGGGAGATACCCACATGGCACAGAAGACCTCCCCTGTCTTGCCTGCTGCTCCCCTCAGCAGTGTATTTCAGTCAATCCACCTGCTCTGTTCCACACTCTGTCTCTGGTAAATCCTTTCAACACCCTGCACTTCCAGTCTATACCCCAGTTCTTGATGGGTAAATAAATAAATCTTATTTAAAAAAAAAAGACATTTGCCAGATAATGACATCCTAATCCCATCATTTCTTCTTGATTAACTCTAATCCTTTTATGGAGAAGTAGTTTCATTCTTCATCCACTCTGTTATGATATTATTTCTTAAGCCCTTCTTATTTTTCAAAGGACACTATTTCCACTTAGTTATTTGGGGCTTAATTTGAAGTAAGAGACATTTAAAGAGGAGTTTTTCTTGTAAATATTTTTCTTCACCTCTAAAACGTAGACCAACTTACCCTTTTTGAAATCTATGTCTTGCATAAAGCAATACTCCCCTTTCTTAGTAATCAATTAAATGTAAATCTTTGTTTTCAGATGTCACTAGTAATATTTTCTGACTGGTAATATAATATCCTGTTGGTGGTGTCAGTAGAATATAGCATGGGTTTAACAGGGAAGCACTCTCAGACCACACTACCCTTCAGATTTCAGTCTGTGTTGCCTCCCAGTTATTTGATTCTAGTACACAGCAGAAGATTCACAGAGATCCTGAACTGAAAGACATTTGAGATACTTTCACACACTTTCTTCTCAAAGAAACTCTGTGAAGGACTTAAGATTTTGCTTTATTGTAAACATTAAAAATTCCACTAAAACTAAAAAATATCCTGAATTAGAGGACAGAATATTCCAAGAAGCTATTTTTCATATTTAAGTTTAAAGAGTAGAACTGACTACATAAATGTGAATATTAAACCTCAGAAAATGTTTCCTTGGTTGATGTGAGTTAGGGGCAGAGAGTGATTAAAAAGTTTCACCATGACATTTAGAAAGGAATCTTAGAAAAGGATTCTTCAGTGACTTTATGTATTAGACGTACATTTAAATCAGGAGAATGTAATAGTAAAACAAAGGGAAAAAAAGGAAAAGTTAAACATATTGGGATGAGACAGTAGAGCCTTCTGTCAAGGAGACTAACTTCTATGATACAGTCATTAAAATTAGAAAGGGATTATTCGGGAATAGGGGTAGAGTCTTGTCCTAAACAATGCTCATCATGAGCCATGTGAAAACCAAGTATGCTTGTGTCCTCATCAAGATGTGCAGCACCATGGGTATGGCCATGTCACTTGAGACATTATCTGCTTCCTGTTAGGCACATCCTGTATTTCAGGTAGCCATATGGATAAGAGTTATTCTGGCTATGTGCTATTCCAGTACCAATGCAGGGCTATAAACCTTCCCTGGGCATTCTCGCCTTGTAGGGTCAAATGTTCATTGTGAGCTGAGTAAAAAGTAAGTTCCCCCAGACCTTTACCAGTATTCTACTCTGGCCCAGAACATGCTTACATGAAGCAGAAGCTAACTTTCATTTTAGCATTGGGAATGCCAATTGTAGCATCACAGACTTCTAGAACTTATGGGCGCCATTTTAGTTCTCTCTCCTGCGTCAAACTCCTCCACGGTCTACCACAGAGTTGACTCTTAAGTTCTGAAAAAATAAAAAAAAATACCCATTACATGTCTTCATTTAGTAATGCATTCCAGATGAATATGGCAATATAATCAGAGCTTAATTTTTCTTTAGAATCATTTGATTGACAGTGGCATCTGAAGGTCACTTAAGAGCCCAGACTGTGTCAGTTACATTTCATTTTGAGTTTATGACTGGTTGTGAATGGAATGCACTTGGCCTTATGTTGTCATCCTGATGAAAGGACTCCCTGTGCTGACGTTGGTCTAAAACATTTGTTTGAATGTGGGAGGGTGGGGGGAGCTGCAGTGAGATCTGATTGTGGCAGGCCAGCTGGCAGCCAGGCAGGGTCACACAGCACATCAACCCCAGTGAAGAACCACAGTTCAGAGGCTATTCTTCAGTCTTTCGCTCACATATTCATCTTTGTCAGTGCACAAAGACAGAAGCTCTAACTTGCATTTTCTAAACTCACGTGGAACTGATGTATAAACCAGAAAGTTAGTATATTCACTTAGAGACGAGAATGTTCCTTTGCCATAATGAAAATATTTGTAGTACCTGTTTATTGTTACCTCCATTATCACTCGTCTCCTCTTGGCTTTGTATATGTTTGCACTGTTGTTTACCCCCTTGCTGAGACTATATTTCAGTAGCCTTAAGAGAATAGATTTGGGCATTTCAGTCTACGCTTCCCTTCCATAGATCTATAATTCAGCTTTCACTGGTTTAACTCTATAAAAGAAATCTATAATCCTTGTCTGTCAGGTGAGCACTTCTCCATGGTACTCTAGACACTGCCTGACATGTATGTTCAGGAAGTGGAAATTGGGAGCTTTGTACCTCATGATGTTATCAAGAGTAAAATAGCAGATCAAGTGTTTGTTCCTTTATGTCATGTTGCTTTTCTTTACTAGGAATGTCTATGACATTTAAGCATGATTTACAACGTCTTGGGCTCATGTGCAATTATAAAAATTATTCAAAAAATGTTTGTTGAATTTAATTTGATTGAAAAGACAACAATATAGACTAACCCTTAAACTAGATAGACTCGGAATGCCAAGTATATTCTGTTCCAGTGCATTTGGGCCTCACTTCTTTCTTCCTTACCTCCTCCTTACCTCTTTCCTGCTCCTCTCAATAAATGTGTACTGAACGCCAGCTCTATGTTAGGCAACATGACTTCCACAACACAAAAGATCCAGACTAAAATTCTCAGGAGCTTACAGGGCGGTGGGAGAGATGTTCCAGCAGTCCATGCTTACAGCTGATTTGATTGTGAAATAACTGAGAGCAATATCTTGACCCTTCCTATAAAACTTAAGATGAGTCCAGGATAATAATATGGTGGTCATCACATGGAGGGGGAGTCTTTCTAATCAAGGAGGGGCAGCATGTGTAAAGGAAGGACAGTTGGGGTGCCTAGATCCCATGTGAATATGTACTGGTTTTGGGCACAGGACTAGAAAGGCAAACAGCTTCCAAAACAGGAAGGGACCTGAAGATCATCACACAAAATTTGGACATTAGCCCATCAGTAACGGGGAGACAAAATTTAAGAGTAACACAGACAAAATGCCGCAATCTTGAGTGCTGAAATATCTTGCAGGTTGTGAAAGACTGGCCTCCAAGGTCTGTATCCTCTGGCCAAGTTCACCTCTCCTCTTTCACTTGGCTCTGCTTTGGCTTCCCCTTTCACTGTGTTCTAACCACAGTGGTCATCTTCAATTCCTTAAAAAGACCATGTTGTTTCCTTTGATTGTGCCTTTGAATACTTGGCGTGATTTGAATGGACGGTACTGCATGTTCTCTCCGTCTGAAATGCTTTTCCACACCACTCCTTATGGCTCGCACATTTGCTTTGTTAGATTTCAGCTAAAATGGTACCTCAAAGAGGCCCTTCCAGATTCCTTATCCCTAATTTAAATTGCCCAAAGTCAATTTTCTTATTTTCTACATAGCACTTAATATTGCATTTGTTCACCTACTTATGATTTCTTTTAAACCCACCACCAGACAATGAACTCCAAGAGGGAGATTGCTCACTGATAAGTCCCCCAGCACCTTTACTGTGCCTGGTACCTGAGAGACAGTCTTCCAAGTGTCTGTTGAGTGAATATACAAAAATGATAATGAAGGTGGATAAATCTGTTAGAAGGGGATTGTGGTTGTTTCTATGATGAATGATGAAGGCCAGAACTAAGGCTGTGTCTGTCAATGGAAACGGAGAGAGTTCCTATACTAGGGCTATTAGGAGAGAGAATTATTACTGTGAATCACATCAGATTTGAGCAGTGGTGGAGAAATCTTAGATGTAACTTTGGCTTCTGGCTTCAACAAGAATGTGTATAATGGTGCCCAAAATGTAAACTGGAAGTGGAGGATGAAAACCATGGGCAGAAGCATAAAAGTGAGCTCTGTTTTGTTTGATTTGAGTGTGAGCTGACTGGAGACACTGACATTAAAGTGTTCCAGGAGCATCTGAAAATTCTAGCCTGATACTAAATAGATAGATCTAGGTTAGAAATGGTGGATATGTTGTAGAAAGAAA